GATCTTAAAACGGGAGGATGACACACGGGGTAGGAACATATATCCGAAGTTTCAGCCCCCCAGCTCACTGGTTGCCGATTTGAAAGTGGGTGACAAAATGCACTCGCATTCCGAACACACACACAGACACGGACAGCCTCTCGACAATATGCGTTTTTACTGGCTGTAGCAGCGCTATAGCGCTGAACAGCAAAAACGCATAAAAATAAGAGCTAAAGTCTCTTTCTTTCCCTCTCCTTTTCTTCAGGCACGTCATTGGTGCTCCAAATCGTACTCAAGGAAACCTTCATAAATTCTATTCAGAAAAGGTTTTGGAATCTTCAAAATAACTCCTTCATATTCGGATAGAAAACTTACGTTTCTCGCAATTTAAACCAAATGTCGGGAATCTGCACCTGCAGTAAGGTGTAGCTCGGTAAGCCATACACTGCGCTTGAGCCTGACAATGGACATCAGCGCAAGCATCCCAGCCACACTGATGCATCTTCCGTGTAGCCAGAGCATCGCGCTTCAAATCCACAAAACGACCATTGTGATAAATCTGGAACGCTAGGAATAGCATTCAGGATAAATAAGACATCCAGTTCCAGTTTAGCTGAGAACAACATGCAGAAGGGCTGGAAAGCTTATTTACTTTCACAGGCCCATCAGTGCGCGACAAGTAAAGCTGCAAAATTACAGTTCTCTATAACTTCTTAATCAGCTTAATTCTCGAGTTGGTACTATAGTAAGTTAAACTTCCTATGCTCTCGGAACGTTCAGTTTGGTTCAACATTTTGTATAATTCATCTCACAGTTTCTCCCATTTCAGTGAAACGGTTGGTACCTATTCCATTGGCCTGAAGTTAAATGGATGTTAAAAAAAATTTTTTTTGGTGGCTCGTTTTCAGCTTTCATCGACCCTCGTCGAAGTAAGCAGCGAATGAATGAAAGAACCTTTTTCAAAGAATGAATGAACAAGTCGAACATTAAAAGAACCTTTTTCATGCATCCGGATAGTCCATTACGCACTGGTAAACTGGGCGATATCTCGGCAGTTGGTGCTCCACCAAAGTATGCAACAGCTTTGCTTGATTTTTGCAATTCATCTTCTTCGACGTCCGATTTTTTTATCCGGTCTTCTATCCATGGCTGATCATCAATCTAAAAACTGATGGGATATGTGAAACTTTTGAGAAAACACATTTCATCAAGCTGTGGTATTTTTCTTTGATTTCTTGAAAAATCAAGACGGATTTTTTAACAGTATTGATTTTTAATAAGGTGTGTCACTTCGTGACTAGGCAAACAGTTCGGCTCTTCTTTAGATGAGCTGTATGCAGGACATCGGTGCGATCACACCAGAAAGTAAAATCTAATAAGCACTACATGTCATTCATAGGCATTGCGCATTCGTAAGTAGTTTTAGAGAGAAAGTAAACGACCACTCGGATAGCACCGTAAGAGACACAAAATCAACGATGGGCATCAACTGGAGACATGCAGCCCAGGGCTGAAAGGCCTGGTTTAGCCATGTCCGACGTGCAGGATCAATATGAGATGCCTGCGCATTTTTGGTAATCCTGGTATTAACCTAAGGCTTCTGCAGTAAAAAGTTGGTACTGGTATGCTTGCTGGTAGGCATGCAGTAGTGCTGAGTAGCATTATTACCATACCACAGTTTAAGGATTTGGCTACTGGTTTTTGATTTGATTTTAACAATTAACATCAATAAACACTTACCTTAAGCAAAACAGCTCGACCACTTCTCCAGACCTCAACACGGTGCCACGCTCCCAGTGAAAGTGGATGCTGTGAGCTGCAACAAAAAGCAATGCAAATTCAGCGAGCTTGCTAAAACAATTTATTATGCAGTTAACTTGCTATATACAGGCACTGAATGGTGTTCGAGCAATATTAAAAGAACGCAGAAAAGGCATCTAGCGTGGTGTAAGGTTTCGTTCGGACGGCTGTGTGGAAATATATGGATAAAGAAGACCCAAAATAGGGAAGAATGGAGAAGCTGTCAACTGCATCAATGGCTAGAAGAAGCTCGATGACGAAATAACAAAATCAAAATAACTTGCTACATGAAAATAAAAAAAAAACACCGCTACACAAGAGCAAACCTGAGGATAGCGTGTGCATCAGCTGTGGTGTAATGTACAGTGAGAAATGCATTTTGAGAATAGATCGAAAAAAAGCAATGTTCGGACGGTTGCAAGTATAAAAGGCCGTTCGGCAGTTGTAGTTTCACCATGAAAGATAGCTCCAAATAATCATACAAATCGATTGGTGCATGAATTTGCGCATAGGATACTTCATCAAAGCCAAATACATTAACCGCTGATGCCGTGCTAGTCGCGATTGTTGTTTTTGCTGCGCTGGGAAGTGCTGAATTAGCAGTTTATTAACTTTTCAGTAATAACAAGAATACTAAGAATTACAAGAATACCAAGACCACTTTGAGAGTTAGAATGAAGATTTCACATTAGTGGTGTTACCGAGATG